CAGTCTCTGTTATCGATGTAAATGAAGTACCAAAAATCCCCCTAGTCGCCTGACTCGGTATGTACAATACCTGTGATGACTGATCAATTCTGCTTGTTTTGCCTCACTCATCAAGCTGGGTGAATGCCGTTGTGCGCGTTGAATAAAATAACCAACAATGGACCGAAACGTCTTATCTCACTCTCATCGCCTCTCTGCCTATTTGACCAGGCTAGCTAATTCTGATCGAGCCCAAAATGATTTTCTTGCTACGTTTACCAAGACCATTCAGATTTCAGTTCACAGTGATCCCATGTTAGTGATATTACTCTGAGGATGTGCTCCCAAAAGCTGAGGTGCACAGTTATGCCAGGTCCTTCGATCCTAAGCAAAATTGTAGGTAGTAGGATGGAAAACTCCGTGAATTTGTCTTCCATTTTCGGACTAAAATTGATAGAAGCGCTGGCATTTAGAAGCCTAGTTCTGCGCTCTTCTAAAAGCAACTTTCGAGAGAGGAAACCGTCGACAGTTTGCCAGCAATTGCTTAATTGTTACTCTCGGAATATTTTCGAGTGCCTCTGTCTCTCACGAAGAATGGATACGAAGAGGGTTTCGACTTTTGACTTTAAAAACCACAGTTAAGACATCTGTGAGGTCTCAAATTGTTAACAATTTTATCAGCAAAATCATAAAACCAACAAAAACAAATCAGCAAACAAACTATCTCTGAGGTCTCAAATAGTCAACAACAATTTTATCAACTTTATCACAAAACCAACAATTATGAGATCATTGATAATATCGTCATTAATATTGTCATCATTATATCATTAACAATAAAAATGTATGAATCAAAATATCCAAAGACATCACACGGCTACAGTATGAATAGTGCGCCATTTCTTTAGAGCAATTTAAATTGATTAAAGAAAAAATCCGGACTTTCAAAGAAAATTGTTTGTCGCAGCACGAACACAGAGGATTTATGAAAGAATAATCGTAATCGCAGTTTTTAATCGCGAAAAGATTTAATCGCAGAACAGAGAATTTCACTGAGTGTTATCGCAGTTTTACAATCAAGTGATGGAAGACAGACTGAACATCCCGAAATTTCCAACGATATAGATAATATTTGGATCTTGATCCGTCGTTATCTCCGTTCCCAATGTTTCACTAAGATAGCTGGGACGGGGCCAATGCTTCCAGAGCTTTCATTCAAGAAGTTTTGAGTCAAAAAATCATCGGGTTGGCGGATCTCCGGATTTCTCGTGATGGACTTTGATGATCCAGTGCAGTATAAATTTCCCATATCTGTAGCTGCAACCAGCCAGGAAACAGTGAGCTTTATGCGGCGATTCAGCTGATGCAGTAGTTTTTCGGTGTCCGGGTGGATTGACGCTTTCTCTGGCAACGGATTTCGATGATTCATCGGAAGCAATCAAGGGCGTAGTAATTTGTTGTCCGTGCAGCACTGGAGAATATTCTGAATACTCGAAGGCGAACAGCGAGTCGTCTTGAGTATCAGTCTTTTTTTTTTCGAAAAGCTGACTGTGTCCAAGTGCAACGGATTTCGAAGATCCAATAAAATATCCTGAACACATTCCATGCGCCTCAATCCCATTCCTGAGGGTGACAGAAATGACGACTCGCACCTCTGCCCCGTGTCTGATCGCTGTTCCTCCCGGATGAGGCTTTTCTCTTTCCATCGTAGCAGCATCATAGAACTCCTTCTTAGCAATCAATTCCAATTCGAGCCGTATGTGCCAGTTCATATCCATCTCAATCATTTCCTCGGCTTGGCCAGCAGCTCCGTAAGGCGGATTTCCTAGGAAAACGAGGAGAGCGATGAGAGAACCGAGCGCATCATCGTGGTGGCAGTCCGGCAAAATGATTTCACTCATAGAATACTCATTTTATAGGCAAAATTTATGCTTACTTAGGTTGAAGACTATGTAAATTAGCCCCATTTATGC